GGGGGGGGATAAACTGAGGTGGGACGAGGAGCGCGCCGGGCGCCGGGCTCCATTCACGCACAAGCGCCCCTTCCCCGAGGCTTCAAAGAGGTCGTCTAAGCCGGGCGCGTTGAAGAGACGGCGTGGCGGCGGGAGGCAAGGTGGAGATGGGCGGAAATTAGGGGTGGGGGAGGGGGCCTTGCAGTTTGAGGGGTTAGCCAGCCCGGTCCGACCCTTTTGCCGCCGTCGTCAACCCGCAATGGGTTCGCGGACACTTTTAGTCGCAGTCAGTTTTTGTTGGCGCACTTTCGCTACATACCGCTCGAGCGAGCGAGCGAGCGGGCGCGCGCACACACACTCACACGAACACTCACACACACGAACACACGAGTGCGATGTTGTCGCTTGTCGCTCTGATTGTGGGCGTAATTCAGGTGTACAGTGCGGCGCTTAGAGGTCACAGCCCTCTATGGCCGTGCTGCACGGCGTGCTGTGAGGACATCGCCCAGCGTCGGGCATATGGCCGTCCGAGTGTGGACTTGCCCCCCGCGGGCCTCTCGGGCGGCCACAAGTGGGTCAAGCAGGGGCGAAAGAGGATGGAGGAAGGGGGAGGGGGGTAACTGATGATGATTGACCGAAGTGGCCGGCTGCCAATAAGTAAGTGCGCTCGTCCTCGCGACCGGCGGTGTGAGTACTGTACCGGGTGATTCAGAGAAGACGCAGGTGCGGGCGGGTTTGCCTATCCTCGACTCGGCGGGCACACAGGTCCCCTCCTTACCTCTCCCCAGACCTGGACCCGTGCGCGCGCCGAATCGAGGATAGGCAAACCCGCCCGCACCTGTGTCATCTCTGAATCATCCAGTACAGCAGCAGTGGACCCTGCTGCGGGGGAGGCCGGCTTAACCCTTGACGACGCGCACGACTGGCGAGGCTTTGCCACTACTTGAGCCCGAGTCACACCATCCGGCCTGCCCGCCCGGTCCCCGCGCGGCGTGAGCTGCGAGCGTGAGCAGCGCTGGCCGCGGCGGACAGATCGCCGCTCTGACTTCCGGTTCCTAACGGTCGCCGCATCCGCTGCTGCCGCGCGGCGCGCCACGCCACGTCGCCGCCAGGGCCGGCGCGCGCGCCACTGCAAGCGCAGGGAAGGGAAGGGGTGGCCATTGCACCACCGAATCACAGATGACATGTCCAAGCGTTTGCAGACTGGTCTTGTGTGACCTGTCTTCGACTTACACTTCCACTCGGGTCCATTACCGTGATTAATTTTGTCATTTGAAAATTACTTTTTTGCAGGTTCGCGACTCGCTGCCGCCCTCCCAGGTGTTGGACAAGTGCCAGGACATCTGCCTGAGGGACCGCTCCTCGGCCAACAACCTGGTGCGCGCGTGCTCGTCGTTCGACTTCCAGGCCGGAGCCAGGATCGCGTCGTTCGGCGGCGCGCCCGAGTACGAGGAGTCGGCCTGCTTCCTGAGCCGCGAGAGCGCGCAGCCCGAGGGGCTCGGCAACCTGGTGCTCGTGCCGGGCAGCGCGCACTTCGCCGAGGTCTGCCTGTCGTGTGAGTATCAGGGCCCCCTCGGAAAAAGTTGTGGAGACATTTTTCGTTTGCAAAACGTGTGACGGCGTCGTCTTGTCTTGCCAGCGAGCCGCGTGGAACGCGAGTGCCCCAACCGGCGCTATGTCTTTGAGCGGCACCCTCGCAAGGCGCTGCGGCTGCCGCAGGCGGACGTCAAGGAGGTGGCCGCCAACAACCGCTCCGACTGCGAGGACCGCTGCCTCAACGAGTTCTCCTTCGTGTGCCGGTCGGCCACCTTCGACTCGACGGCCAGGACGTGCTCCATGTCCAGGTTCACCAGGAGGACGCACCCGGACCTGCTCGCCGACGCGCCCACGTCCGACTACCTCGAGAACACGTGCCTGAACGGTGAGTACATTCAGCGGTCGCAGCAGTCGCGTTGAGCTGGAACTGGTGACCGGTGACAATATGGTCTTTGACTTGCAGCGGAGCGGAGATGCGACGCGACGGCCGTGTACGTCAAGGAGGAGAACAAGCGCGTGGGCGGCGCGGTGGAGGCGGCGCTGCTGGCCAACGTCTCGCTGGAGGAGTGCCAGTCCGAGTGCCTGGGCGCGGAGCGCTTCCTGTGTCGCGCCCTGGAGTACGACGAGGCGACGCGGCAGTGCGCGCTGCTCGAGGAGGACTCGGTGTCTCAGCGCGACCTGCTGCGCACCGCCTCCTCGCCCAGCCACCACCTCTACGACCTGGTGTGCCTCGACAACGCGCTGCCCTTCCGTTCCGACAACGCCGCCACCTCGCACCTGTTCGCGCACGGCCGCCGCCCGGACACGGCCTTCCAGCGCTACCGCAACTCGCGCCTCGGCGGCGACTTCCACTCGGAGATCACGGGCCGCTCGCTCAGCGAGTGCCTCGACGAGTGCCTGCGCCAGGCCAGCTTCGTGTGCCGCTCGGCCGTGTACTCGGACCGCTTCCGCACCTGCAGGCTGTCGCGCTTCGGGCAGCGCGATGGCCACCGCGTCATCTACGACGCCGACTACGACTACTATGAGAACCTGATGGGTGAGTAATGGGATCGTATCGTCCAGAAAGTACGTGTCCGCTTTTCTTAGACTCATTCGGGAACTTGTGGGACCTCGGCGCCTGCGAGACTCTGGGTAGGCCGCGCCGCAGTACACGCATGCACTGCAGGCAAGATGTTGCCTATCTAATAGGCGCTATCAGAGCTCGCACTGGCCGAACTTGGCGCTTTCGCAACGGGAAATGGCGGATGTTCTTGCTGGATAGTTCCTAACGGGTGGGATACGATCTTACCGCGCCGCCTAGCCCACCGCTTATACCCTTCTCTGCTCCACAGCACACTATCCGGACGGCGCTGACGCGGGCTCCTCTCTGCCACCCGTCTCCCCGTACCGACCCGGGGACAGGCCAGACCCGCTCGGCCAGGACTCGGCGTACGGGAGGCCACCTTACTCTGGTGAGTCCACGGCAAAAAGCACGAGGAATGGGCCATTCAGGGTCACACAGAAGACTTAAGTTAAGTTAAAATGTTGCAAACAAAAACGCCGGTTTCTTCTAGGCGCGCTAGGTGTTGGCGGCGGAGGAGGCGCGTATGGAGGTGGAGGAGGAGGTGCCTACGGCGGCGGCGGTGGTGGCTACCCCGGCGGCGCCTACTACCCCGTAGGCGGCGGCGGCGGTGGCAGTAGCGTGGCGTACGGCGGCAACTCGCTCGGCTACAGCATCGGCAACTACGGCGGCGGCGGCGCGAGCGGCGGGCTGGGGGCGTACCCCGCGCCGGGGGCGGCGCCGTACCCGGTTGCAGGCTACCCGGGCGGCGGCTTCCCCCCGGGATACCCGGCGGGCTACGTGGGCCCGTCCGTGGGGCCCGTGCCCACCCCCGGCGCCGGCCCCTACATGGGCGGCGCGCCCCTGCCGCCCGTGGGGCCGGCGGGTCCCGTGGGGCCGGTGTCCCCTGTGGCGCAGCCGGCGGGCTACGGCGACCCCTTCTACGGCCGGCCGCTCTCCTCGCGGTGCGACGACGGTGACGCGTTCCGCCAGGTCGGCGCGCGGCTGCGGGCGCGCAGGCAGTTCATCCGGCGCTTCGTGTCCGTGCCCTCGCTGCCCCTGTGCGAGCGCGAGTGCGCCGACGCCAGGGACTTCGTGTGCCGCTCCTTCAACTTCAGGTGGGTCTCGCTCTGCTTCGTCCGGCGCTGTCACCAGCAGGCGGGGGGTGACGCCATCTGACCGGCACCTTGCTTGTGCGTGTTCCGCAGGCCGTTCGCCGCACCCTTCGGCGCTGCCGAGAGGGAGAACTGCGAGCTGTCCGACAGGGACTCGAGGGATCTGGACCCGGGCAACCCGACCTACTTCGAGACCACGGCAGACTACGACTTCTACGAGCGATTCAACGGCAGGCAGGGCATCGGGGGAGAGTGCCTGGATGGTGAGACAATTACCGGATGCATCGTGATCTTTCACATCTGACCCAAAACTAATCCCACTTTTCTATTCCTTTGCAGTGTCGCAGGTGTGCTCTGAGGACGGAATGGAGTTCACTCTCCGCACCCCGGAAGGGTTCGTGGGGCGCATCTACACGCACGGCTTCTACGACCGCTGCTTCTTCCGGGGCAACGGTGGCACCGCTAACGTCCTGAGGATCAGCGGCGCGCAGGGGTACCCCGACTGTGGAACTCAGCGGGTGAGTCCGCGCCTCTGTGGCGGCGCTGTGACGGTCCGCCGACTACAGCCAGGCCCGCTGTGATCGCTCGATTTATCTCCTCTCGTTTGGTACAGTTCGGCGACTCGATGACCAACATCGTGGTGGTGCAGTTCAGTGACTACGTCCAGACCGGGCGCGACAAGCGATACAACCTCACCTGCCTGTTCCGCGGGCCGGGCGAAGCGGTCGTGACATCGGGATACATCGGCGCTGGGTGCGTTCCTCGATACGACCGCCATACCTGAATCCAGGTAGTATCACTCGGTGACTTGACGCTGCTTCTATGTTCCACAGGCGCTCGGGCGCGCCCATCCCCATCGAGTACCTGCCCGCGGAGAACTCGTTGAGCTCGCGGGTGCGCCTACTGATCCTGTACCAGGGCCGACCCACGACCACCATCGCCGTCGGGGACCCGCTCACCTTCCGCCTCGAGGCCCAGGACGGCTACCACTACTCCACGGACATCTTCGCGACCAACGTGATCGCCAGGGACCCGTACTCGGGACGCTCCGTGCAGCTCATCGACAGATACGGGTGAGCGCGTGGTTCCCGTCCCATCACACTGCCTCCCGAGGCCCGCAAGAGTCTGACCACAAACTTCTCCGTGCAGGTGTCCCGTGGACCAGTACGTGTTCCCGGGGCTCGACCGCTCTCGAGAGGGCGACGGCCTGGAGGCACGCTTCAATGCCTTCAAGATCCCAGAGTCCAACTTCCTGGTGTTCGAGGCCACGGTTCGCACCTGTCGCGACGGCTGCCAGCCGGTAGGTCTCCGAATGAATTTCACCTCGTCGAGGTCGGTGAGTGGGACTCTGTGATACGAACGTCCCTCTGGTTCGCAGGCGTACTGCACGGGACAGACGGGGCGCAGTGAGCCTTCCTTTGGACGACGTCGCAGGGCTGCCGAGGAAGACGACCAGGACGTCGACGAGCCGGAGCACCGCGTTGTCCAGGAGGGCGTCAGCAACACCAACGGCACCGAGGACGAGGAGCAAGTCCGCGAGATGATCGAGGTTGGTTGACCAGGATTGCGGTGCGGCACACGAAACCCCGGGGACTCGCACCTTGCTAAACTCGGTGATTCTGTCGGCAGGTGTTTGAGAACCGCAACGACATCTCGGAGCCCAGCAGCCTCAGTGCGGCCACACCCGAAGCGGACGCCGTGAAGGTGCAGAAGGCCGGCGGCGTGGTGCTGTCCACCGGGGAGTACTACGGCCTGGTGTCCGCCCTGAGCACCACCATCGTGCTACTGGTCGCCTCCTTGGGCGCCGGCCTGCTCGCCTTCAGGCACATCTACCTCACGAGGCAGGCCAAGTACGTGCCTCCGGTGCCCACCTCGGCGCCGCCCGTGACATCCGTCAACTTCACCACCTCCAGGATGGCGAGCCTAGCCTCGCTGCTGCCCAGCAAGCTGTTCGACAGGTACGTGACAACTGCTGAGCTGGAGCAGGATGGGCAACCGGGAGCGCTCTTGCACTCACTTTCTTGTTTAACTTCTAGCGAACGGGCGAGCGGGCCCGCGGTGGTGGAGGCGGCCATGGACTGCCCCATCGGTGGCCTCCGCCGGGGCCGGGGAACCTTCGAGGACCCGAGCGAGCCCATCTACACCGACCCGTCGCTGTTCGAGCGGCCGCGCAGCATGCGCTCCATAGCGGCCTTCCCGCCCAGCACCAGGACAGCAAACTGAGCTCGGGCGGCCCTTGTTGTGGACAAGCTAATCGAATAGGCGCGTGGCCTGGTGGGGCTCCAGAGGGACGAGGACGTGGGGGCTGAGCCCGGAGAACGGCTGTGTGGAGGTGGTGCACGGGAAACCTGACCGGTCGCCGAGGATACAACTACTACCTTGATGAGGCTGGACTCCGCAGCACAGCCACGCAGCCGCACCCGCCCCAGGGAACAAGTGCGCAGGGCGTCTTGGTCTCATTTTGTGTACCTTTTTTAAAATACATGTTTTCACTCACTTCCTAGTAAGTGGCCTGAAGACTCGCAGTCTCTTTTTGTGTTGTTTTCCTAATACGTCTTTTTTTCTGGCTAAAATTTGTTCTGAAATTCGAAACCTAAAGCGGGGACAGACTGGCTTTCATTCCGAGGACAAAGTGGTTATTATTTACTCAGTCAGTCCTCTAGCTTGGAGCGTGTCTTAACTCTGTGATTTTCTATGTTCAGATACTCCTTTAGATTAAGAAAACTAGAAGTTAGCTTTTTATCCTTTACTGTTAGTGTAGAAATAGTGAGTGCGTTGGTGAATGTGTTTCGCGAAGCCGAACACACAATTTTATAAGTTTAAACATGTCTATTTATAATGCCTGTTCATCCATCATTAGGACAGTAATAGAAACATCACGAGGCAAATATTTCGACGTTGCCTCGTTTACTTAACTCCTAAACAATACTTATTGCACTGGAACAAACAATAATAATAATAGCTCTACCTGTGCCCACCTGTGTTGATATCATTTCGTTTTTACTATCCTGAGTTTGTTTTGATATTGATATGTCTGTTTGTCTTTTTCAGTCCTATAAGAAGTGTAATTTTTTAATA